ATCAATCCAAAATGCTTAAAAATGCTCAAAACACTCAAAGATTTTCTTCGTATATCAAAACTTATTTCAAAATATTTAAATTTTTTAACGTTTTTCTTTCTAGTAAGGAATACTTCAGAGATGAATAGTCTGACAAGGAAAGCTCAAAGAATATGAGTTCGTTTGAAGTGCAGATCTAAACATACTTGACCTGTTAATAGGTTTCGGGTTGAGGCGCGGAGCCAAATAAATGGGTCGATTTCATTAAGGGTAATTTTGTGTAAATTTTAATTCTCTTAAATTAAAACAGTTAAAATTATAAAAAAGTCTATTGTCAAAAATGCATTATGCATGGGGCTTATTTAAAAAAAGAACTCTTTAATAATCTTAGTCAACAAAACATGGAAATGGTACATGTAATATGAATGAAATTTTTTTAACATTAATAACTATTTTTCTTATATGATATAAGCCAGATTTAAATCCAAAGATTGAGTGAGTTAACTTGTTCTCTAAGACGGTCATGGTCATTACTGAACTAAGTGTGAAAACAACCCTTACACCATCAATCCTGGATGATAGCACTAGGAAAAAGCCACAGTTTTGTTCGGGAAATGGTGTTGGTTCTAATGTTGAATCCTAGACAAACTAGTGTACTAACCCTTCATTCTAGGAGGCGTTAATGAATGCTGGTAATGAGGCATTAGTATTGGAAGAGAATCGTTTTTCTGATGAGGAAATGAATCGTGAGGAGGAGGTTTATGTGGATAGTGAATCAAAGATTACAGATGGGATATAGGATCTTTTTGATGATTTTTAAGTGGATACTATAGAGGGATGCCTAGCTTTGGAAATTTTTGAAAGGAAACATGAAGAACTCCTTAAACAGTGGAGTCGATCCATAATCATTAGAATATTGGGATGAACAATTTCCTATAGAATCCTATGTGATAAGATTGTCACTTTATGGGCACCAAAAGGAAAATACTCAACAGTGGACTTGGACGACGAGTGTTTTTTGGTTAAGTTTGAGGAGCAAAGTGACTATCTTACAGCGTTGTTAAAAGGCCCTTGGATGATATAAGGGCATTATTTGTTGGTTTAACCTTGGACACCAAACTATTTGAAAGGTTCAACTAATTTCTCAAATGTCACTGCTTGGGTAAGGCTCTCGGGAATGCCCCTTCATTTGTATCACAAGTTAGTTCTTAAACATATAGCCTCTCTGCTAAGTCTATTACTAAAGACTGACTATAATACTAGCCAAGACAAAAGAGGCAAGTTTGCAAAGATTGTTTTTGTAACCCGTGATATTATCATTTTTCTTCAAACTATGTTTAATGGATTTAAAATAATTGTGTGGCATTGTCAAAGTGCTGGAGGTAGGAATTTTGTTGTTGTGTTGAAAGACTTTGTTAATCAATTTAAGTTTTCCATTCTTATTTTGGAGGAGCCACGGATTAGTGGAATTGTAATAGATAAAATTATTAAAGTACTGCATTTTGATCGTTCACATACAATTGAGGCAACTGGGTTTTCTAGAGGGATTTGGGTGCTTTGGAAAGAAAAAACTTGACTTTCAATAATTCGTAATCATCCACAATGTATTCATCTATCAATTGAGTATCTCTTAGGGTCATATTGGTTTTTTTCCAACAATATATGGTAATCCTTATTCTCTCATTCGAAGGGCTTCATGGAAAGAGTTATCTGCTTTTGTTGAGACTGTAAGAAGGCCGTGGATTTTAATGGGTGATTTTAATGCTTTTCTAGTCGATCATGAGAAAATAGGTGGGTCCTCCAAAAGCAATCATCCTTGTGTGCATTTTCAACAGTTTATAAATAATTATAAATGACTGGATTTGGGTTTTAAGGGACCAAAATATACCCGGAGGAGAGGCTTGGTGCCTGAAAGGATTGATAAGTTTATTTGTAACATGGATTGGCAACTAATTTTTTCAGATGCATTAGTTAATCATATGCCCCGAGCACTATCAAATTACAGGTCACTTCTTGTGGTTTTGACATAATCTAAAAGTTAGTGTCCTTTTATTAGGTTACATTTTCAAATTGCCTAGTTATCTCATTGTAATTTTAATAGTTATATGCAACAAGCTTTCGAAAATTCGAGTAATTTATATTCTAATATTTTGAATTTTTCCATTAAAGCCCAACAATGGAATAGGGAAGTATTTGGTAATTTTTTCACAGTAAAAAGGAGATTGCTTGCCCGACTTGCAGGTGTTGAAAAAGCATTGGAAAATAGAACTTCTTACCAACTTAGGGAGTTGGAACATAGTTTGAGAGTTGAATATGAATAGACGGTACAACGAGAGGAAATCTATTGGATGCAAAAATCTAAAACGGATTGGTTAAAATTTGGTGATGCTAATACCAAATATTTCCATATTCGTCTTGCTTGTAAAAGAAATAAGCATAAGATCTTGATATCGCGTGATTGGGAAGGGAATTGGTGTGATGACCAGTTGTTACTTCAGGATCATGCAGTTTCATTTTTTAAACGGTGTAGTCAAAAGAGAACGGTGATGTGCTGTGTTATCCTATCAAGGGTATGTTTCTTACTCTTTTTATGAATTTAATAAGACCGATTGAAAGATAGGAAGTTCATACTGCTTTGTCTGAAATGAAACCAACAAAGGCCCCAAGACTAGATGGCTTGCATGCGGCATTTTTTCAATCTCAATGGGCTGTTGTAGGTCAGAGTTTGATTGACTATGTGTCTAATGTGTTTGAGAGGGTTGAATTTGGTGAAAGTTTATGTAGTTCTCTTATTGTTTTGATTTCGAAAATAACTACTCCAGAATTCATTTCCCAATTCCGTCTGATCAATTTATTATATGTTGTTTTCAAGGTGTTAATGAAAGTTATCACCAACAGATTGAAACCTATAATGGGTTCGTTAATGGCAAGTACACAAGCTAGTTTCATTTCGAGTAGGCAGATCATTGACAATACTATTATTGCTCTGGAAGTAGTGCACTTATTATGGAAGAAGCAAGGTAAAACAGGTCAGATGATGCTTAAAATCGATTTAGAAAAAGTATATGATAGTGTAAGTTAGGATTTCCTATATGATACTTTGTTCGACGCCAAAATGCCAAATAAAGTTGTGGACTTATTGGTACGCAGTTGGAGAGGTAGCAATAGTAAAATGTTATGGAATGGTTCTCATTCATCTGCTTTTACACCTTCACAAAGAGCACATCAAGGTGACTTCTTGTCTCTATATTTGTTTGTACTTTGTATAGAACGACTTGCACAAGGGATTAATGCAACTGTTGCACAGGGTTTGTGGAAGCTGGTTAAACTAAGCCCCCGATGTCCACCTTTAACCTATTTTTTTTGCAAATGACTTGTTGTTTGCTGAAGCTTTTATTGACTAAATAGAGGTTATCTAAGGGGTTTTAGCAGACTTTTGTGCATGTTCTGGACAAAAAATGAGTGTGGATAAATCACTTTTTTATTGTTCTAAAAAATGTGAGCATTGCTTGTGTAAACAGTTTGCAAAATTGTTCGAACTTCTATTACTCGAGTGATTTAGGTAAATACCTTGGGGTTCTGTTATGTAGTGGTTGAAAAGGAAATAACACTTTTTCCTATTTGATTGATAGAGTGAAGAACAAACTTACCGTGTGGAAATGGCAAGGTGCCCATCGAAGTAAGACATTTCTGTTGCAATGTTTGCATGGGAAATTATTAATTAATGCAGAGAGATAGAGCTAACAATTAATAAAGGATCTCAAGTGTGTGCAGTGTGGGTTAGAAACTGAATCAATCCTTCATGTTTTAAGGGATTGTTCCGTGGCAATGGTGGTGTGGTCTCGGCTTGTTCCTTCCAAAGATAGAAGGCACCATTAACAGCTTGGTTGCTTACAAATTTAAATGACAACCGTGTGAAGATGTTTGATTGTCCGTGGGTCATCATCTTTGGCATTGCTTGCTGGCTTATGTGAATGTGGCACAATGTTTCTATTTTAAAAGGTAAAGCTGTTTCTGTGATGAATCATTTGCATTTGATTCGTAGTATGTCGATTTCAACACGTATCTTTTTTACTGAGTTGGATAGTTTAACTAGATCTCTGGTACATAAGAAAGAGACTCTTGTTGGTTGGCAAACTCCCTCTTCTGGATGGGTAACTCTAAACACGGATGGGGCTTTTCGACACTCAATTTGTAAAGTCGCTACTGGTGGGGTTATTCAGTGTCATGAAGGTTTCTATTTAAATGGATTTGTAGTAAATTTGGGTTCATGTTCTTCTAATAGAACGGAAGTATAGGGAGTTTTTTATGAGTTGAAATTGGCTTAGGAGTCAGGGATTCATAAACTTTGGCTTCAAGTGGATAACAAGATGGTTGTGAATGCTATTTCAACGTTTGTTGTTCCTCCGCATGTTGATATGAACTTACTCACAGCAATTCAGGAGTTGTTACAAAGACAATAAAAGGCCAAAGTTACCTACATATGTCATGAAGCCAATATGATTGCTAATTTCTAAGTCAATTTGAAATTCTCTTATGTTTTTTATGTTTTTTATAATATTTATGGGGCAAGAGTTGAGAACTTATTATTGTATGGTATGATGGGAATATATTTTTCCAAGATGATTTCAACTTAATATTATAGTTTCTTCATTAAGAAAAAAAACATGGTAATGTTTTATTTTGAGTATAGAAATCAAACATGGAATGATAAATTCAACCAAATTGATTTTGAAAAGTTTAAGAGAAAATCCTATTTCGGAAGGCATTTGAAATTTTAGATTGAAGTTTGTGCACTTTACAAAGAGAACATTATAACGTGTGTGGTATGAATACGAATGATACTACGGTCAGAAAATCATGGATAGACGGTACTAATTTTCTACATTTTTTATACATTTGCTATTTTGGATCTGGTCTATAACCGACCCACTCCACGTGGATTGAGCGGGAAACGCCTACAAATATCTTATTTTTCTCTACCCCCATTTTCAAACCGCTATTCAATAAATCAAGGAATTTTAAAAGTGAAAAAAATGGCGGGATCTGTGGTAGTCGTAGAAACCAATCGCCAAGAGAACGATAAGCCAGTAAACGCCATTAAAGACCAATGGCAAGTTCTTTTCGCTCGCTTCATGAACTATCCATCTCTCCCTTCCACGTGTCCCTCTCTCGTACCTCTCCCTAAGAACCGACGATTTCGCGCGCCTCAAGGCAACTGGATCGCCACTTCTTTCCCAGCCGCTTCTCTACAGATCATCAGTGATCTCTCAGGCTCCGAAGCGATCCTCGTCGTTCGTTTAAGCGAGAAGATCCTTGTGAGTTGTTCATCATTGATTCTTTTAGATCATAATTTCGATTGGTTTAGAACCTCGCAAGCTTTAATTTGATTTATTATCAAATCTTTTAAGCGTTTATGAGTTCTGTTTGGTTGAACGTAATCCATTTTCTCAGTAACAAATTTAGTGTTGCGAACATGCGAATGAATTCAGTTTCGGAGAAGCGTTGGTTGTTGATTGCTTAAGGAGCAAATCTTTTGCTCATGGGAATAGCCAGCATAATAGTTGCTTTAGACCCATTAGTTTTTTCGCTCTAAAATTTGAATTTATGTCTCCTCGTGAGCGTCCTTCACTTTATTTACTTGGATTTATTTCGCTGAGTTTCAAGAATCTTGTCTTATACATCTTTTATATTTGGATTCTTTTTATTTTCGTTTTCAATTTTCTCATTTTAATTTATAAGGAACGTATGCAGGTGAAAGTCTATAAAAGTTTAGTTTCCGCTTGTATTTAACTTAACTTGATCTGAACATATTAGTTGAAGTTGCATTTCAGTTGTTAATCTGTTGGCGGATTGCATTTATGGCCTTATGCTCATGCTCTTACTTAATTTGATTGGCCTTCTACCATCACAAGGAAATCAGATTCTGTTACATGGTGCAGGAAGAGCACTATATTTCCAAGCTGCATTTCTCCTGGCCTCAGGTTCAATGCATCCCTGAATTTCCTGCTAGAGGTAGCAGATCTGTGTTTGTAAGCTACAAAGACTCTGCCTACGAGGTAAGCCACTACTGACTTTGTGTTACAAGGACATATTTTTGCATTTCATGGTCTAAGATTAGTCAAAACCGGCAAGGTATATTCATATTTTTTGCCTTTTGTTCTGTATTGTTTTTTTCATAAAACCGTCATAAAACCATTATCAGTCATCACATCATCCCTTGTTTGCTTACAAATTTTCATGTTACCCTTAACATGTTTGACTTCATAGGAGAAAATTAGGAAAGGTGTTACCAAAGTGAACTTACAAAGTATGCGAACTTCATTAAATAATGATGTATGAGAAAAAGATGTGCACATTTTCCTTCCTTCTTTTTTCTAGAGCCACTTAAAGAAGATAACATCAGCCAAAGAGAGCTTAGAATAGGAAACCGTGGTCTCTTTGAGATGATCAATACATCAGCTTAACAATACATTCTTGCTATGTATGCCCATGATATCTAGGCATTATAAATTGTTCCTTTGCCTTTTAAAGGCAGACCTAAACAAGTTTATCATTTTCCTTTATTGCTGCAAACTTAAGGTCTTCTTCTATTTTTGCAGATCCAGAAGTTTGCATTGCGATTTTCTACACTTCGTGATGTAGAATCATTCATGAATACTCTGAGGGTAGACATAAACCTACATGAATTATTTACTTCTTATAATAAGATTGTGTAGCTTTGTCAAACTAATAACTGTACTCTACTGCTACAAATCTATTTTTTTATACTTGGAATGATAGTGGCTTGTTTTGTTTCTCTTTCAGGAGAACTTGAAGGGTGAGGATGAAATTGAGCCTTTAAACAGAGATTTTGGATCTGACTTTTCAACCCAAACAGAGTTCATATCTAGTAATGGACTTCCTTCTAGGTAGGTATGACAACTGAAAAGATATTCTCTTACCTGTTTGTTTTTTGCAGAAGATCTTAATATATTTTTTGGATGGATCTGAAGATAAATTACTGGAAAAATTAGGAAGAATCTTTTAAGGATTACAAAGAGATACTGACTTGACTCAGATGTTTGCAGAGTTTGTCAGGAGTTGAGTGATATGACTGCTGGCAATTCTTACACTCCACAGATGGATCCCAGTTTGAGCTATGAAATTGAACAGCAGTCATTTGATCAAGATGCCATCCTTAATCACAATTCTGAAGGGATTTTTCCAGCCTTGCCTCCCAGTTTCACATCCTTACTGACTGATTGCCGCTCTACTGCTGAACAAGGTAGATTTCTTGCCTTAAATATATACAGAGATATCTGCCAACTGAATTCATAACATATTTTCCTTAACTCAAATGATGTAGCTGCCAAACAACCAACAGTATCTGAGGAAATTGATCTCAAATCTCAAATTGTGGTATTGCTTTCAAACTATTTCTCAATATTGTGCTTATTTTTTCAGTAATTAGAAGGCAAAAAGTACCTCACTACCTCATGAATTGGCCATAATATGTCTGAAACTGCATTCTTTTCTACCATGTCCTATAGCACTGTTCATTTGATGATAGTTCTGTTTCATTGCAGAGATACATGGAAGATTCTTCCTTCCAAGGTAACACTTATTTCTAGTTCATCTAAATTTTGCAAGGCCTGCAATCTTTGTTTGAATCCTTGATAGGGCCTTTAGCCTTTTTACTAGAGTAGGGGTCAACAGAGAACAGAGTGCAGGGCTCTGCCATAGTTGTAATTCCCTTTTTGGGTTGTTCTTAACATGGCGAAGAGATTGATCTGCTTGCACTGTCAATTTATTAAGAATAAATTTATTTGGTAAGTTAAGTTAGTTACTGATTTACCATAGGCTTATTTATTTACTGTCATTTTACTGTAGATACTGTGCTGTTTAGTGTACAAGCTTTTAGGACAGTTTTGCCCCTAGAGTCTGTTATAGAGTTGGTTAGTTTCTGCTCTTTCCAGTTAAGTATAAAAGCTGTATTTTTATAACTGAATTGAGTTGGAATGAGGAAGATTCTCGATTCCTCACTCTGTATAAGTTTACATATTCCTTTTCTTGCAAATTTACGCGGTATCAGAGCCTTGATCTAACGTTTTGCAATCAAGTTCAGAGCCGACAGAGTCTTCCTCTTCTTCCCATTGAAGCAAAATCTTGATGGCAGTCTCTTCAAGCTCTCGATCCTCACTGTCAGTGATCGAAGATCCACACTCAGCCTTCCCTACATAATTCGGACTACCATGGTTCAGTCAGCATCACCCCCAAATTAACTTCCAGCAACTATTCTTTTTGGAGCAGATCTTTCACCTTGGCCCTCTCAATTTGCAATAAAACAGGCTTCATTGATGGTACAATTCCAGAACCTCAGGTTTTAGATGACCTTTACATGGCTTGGACCAGGTGCAACAATTTAATTTTGGCCTAGTTATTGGAGTCAATCATGCCCCCAATAGCTTCTACTGTGTTCTATATGAGCACAGCCTCACAAATTTGGGACACACTAAAGAGGAGGTTTTCACAGCTAGATGATGTGAAGATTTGTAACCTTCAGTTTTTTCTTTGCAGCATCTCATAGGGCACAAGGTCAGCGGATGAATATTTTACTGAGCTTATTACTCTGTGGGAAAAACTTAAACTATTTAGACCATTACCATATTGCAAATGTGGAAATATAACCAGAAATGTTTCCAAAAGTTCACTGATCAGTATGAGAAAGATAATGTTTTTAGGTTTTTAAATGGATTGAACGAAACCTACTCTGCCTTGAAGTCTCAGATTATCATGATGAAGCATTTTCCTTCACTGGATGAGGCTTACAATCTAATTCTTAGAGAAGAGTCTTGGAAAAATCTGCACTTGCAGTCTCATCCTTTGATTGAATCATCTGCTATGGCTGCTGTATGTGATGGCAAACCAAGAAACAAGTCTGATATTGTATGCACACGCTGTGGGAAGAAGGGACATTTGAAGGAAAAATGTTACAGACTAATTGGCTTCCCAGCAGATTTTAAGTTCACTAAAGGCAAGTTTAATGCAAGAAAAAGGAATTCTTTATCAACAGCATCATGACAGCAGCTCATGCTGATCAGAATGAGCTGCTGGAAAACATTACAAGTTCTATGTCTGAAATTAGTCTTTCAAACGATAAAGTTCAGAAGCTTAAAGCTCTTATCAGTGAGCATACTTCAACTGGTGCATATGATCATGTCACAGCAAGCAATCAGCCTACCAAACTCCCACTAATCAATTCATCACAGACAGGTACTTTTTCCAATCAAAATTGTCTTTGCACTCATGTTCTTGTTAGCCAAACACAAACTGAAAATGATTTTAATTTCAATCATAATTCCTGGATATTGGATACTGGTGCTACTGATCATATAGCTTGTACCCTAAATCATTTTTCTTCATATAAAGCTTCTCATAATGTATTTGTTCAATTACCAAATAAAACAAAGGTCACTGTTTTACACATAGGAACTGTTCATCTAGTATTACTCACGCTGCATGATGTCTTGTGTGTGCCATCTTTCAAATACAATTTGATATCTAGTGCACTTACTAAGACTGGTAAGCATCATTTGACATTCACTGATGCACATTGTATGATACAGGACCCATTTCATGGATAGTGAATGGGGCTGCTAAAGTCATCAATGGATTATACATCATGCAGAACCAGGGGAATGAACAAGAACTAAGACAGTTGAGCACAAATAATATTGTTTCTTCTCTTTAAAACATCTGTAAATGTGTTTAGGTCAATACCTAAGAATTTTGATCTACAGCATTTAGGTTAGGACACACATCATCCAATAGAATAAACATATTTCATTAAAAATGTTTTGATGTCTCATGCATAGGTGATTTGCTTTGTGAAACATGTCCCTTGGCAAAACAAAAGAGGTTACCTTTTCCAATGCATCATTCTAATACAACTTTCCCTTTTGAATTATTACATGCTGACATCCGGTGGCTTATTCTACCCCATACCTGCTGGTCATCATTATTTTCTAATTGTTGTGGATGATTTTACGAGGTTTGCTTTGATACTTTTGATGAAAAATAAGTCTGAAGTAATAAAAATCATCCCTACATTCTATAACATGGTTTTTATTCAGTTCAATACATCCATTAAGCATATAAGATCAGATAATGGACTTGAGTTTAACCTTTTGGATTTCTTTGCTGCAAAGGGGATCATACATCAATTATCATGTGGTTGGGAGAAAGCATTAGCATTTTCAGATTGTGGCTAGGGCATTGTTGTTTCATTCTGCATTACCTTTAAATTTTTGGGGAGATTCAGTTTTTGTTGCTGCATGTATAATTAATAGGATTCCACACCAATTTGATAAAACAAAACCCCTTATGAGCTTTATTTAACAAGTTACCATCATACTTTCATTTTAAGGTCTTTGGTTCCTTATGCTTTGCATCAACCCTATCACATAACAGCAACAAGTTTGATCCAAGAGCAAGAAAATGCATTTTCATTGTTATCGAGTAGGCATAAAAGGGTACAAGCTGTATGATTTAAAGACACATAGTATCTTTATCTCTATGGATGTTATCTTTTATGAATTTTTGTTTCCTTTTAAGGATTCTAAGCAAACACTAGAGCCTTCAAATTGTTTACCATTGGCTAGTGTCTACTGTGCTGTTAACAGTGATGCTATTCATGATAATCTGCCTTTTTATTTTGATTCAAATTCATCACTTGATCTTGCTCAAAGTCCTTTAAATTCTCCTAGTGCCTTAAGTACAAACAATGATGATTCAGAACCTATTTTACCATTTTTTGTTTCTAATTTTTCCCTCGAGAACTTGAAACTGCATTAGACAATTTTGATTCCAATTTTGCCCCTGCATCCATACCTGTTTCAGATAACCTTAATTCAGATACTATTGTTGATTCCAACAAATACCCTCACCAAAGAAAAGCACTAGACCTAGAAACCCTCCTAAATACCTTGATGTTTACCAAAATCATTTGCTATCCCACACTAGCAATGTCACTGATCACCCTATCACACCATGTCTGTCCTCATCACAGCTATCCCCTTCCCGTAAAGCCTTCACATCCATTCTATCTCATATTCACGAACCTAGTCATTATCATCAAGCTGTTAAGTATGCTCAATTGAGAGATGCCATGCAATCTGAACTAGATGCATTGCAGGCTAATGGGACATGGACCGTGATGCCCATACCTGCTAATTCTCATGCAGTTGGCTGCAAATGGGTGTACAAAGTCAAACTCCATGCAGATGGTTGTGTGGAAAGGTATAAGGTAAGGTTAGTTGCTAAGGGTTACAATCAAAGGGACGGCTTTGATTTTCAAGAGACCTTCAGTCCAATTGGCTAGCAAACTACTATGAGAGTGTTTCTAGCCTTAGCTGCCATTAAAGGTTGGCATCTTACTCATGTAGACATTAATAATGCTTTTTTAAATGGAGATTTGGATGGAACAGTCTACATGGAGCTGTCACAGAGTTACAAGCCTTTGGGGGAGTACTCACCACAGAAGACTTGTTTGGTATGTGGGCTTCATAAGTCTTTTAATGGCCTTAACAGGACTGTAGGCAATGGAATGCCAAATTCACAAGCTGCTTAGTAGACTATGGCTTTACACAGTCAAAGGTAGAGTACTCCTTGTTCACAAAGGTAATTGAAATTGCTGATCTTGTTGCTCTTTTAGTCTATGTTGATGACATAGTAATTGCAAGTTATAGTGCAAGTTGGTAGTGATGTGAAGAATTATTTGCACTCTAAGTGTAAGCTGAAAGATCTATGGGAAGTCAAATATTTTCTTGGCTTAGAAATTGCTAGGTCTACTAAAGGAATTTCTATATGCCAAAGAAAGTATACCCTAGATTTTCTGGAGGAATATGGTTTCCTAGGTGCTAAATCAGTCACCACACCCATTGACTACAATCATAAACTGTCAAGGGCAAACCAGGAAGATTTATTGCAGGATGGGACTGTTTACAGACAACTCATTGGAAAATTACTATATTTGACTTTTACAAGACCAGATATAGCTTATGCTGTTCATGCGCTATCACAATACATGGACAAGTTTGGCAGTATTCATTTACAGGTTGCATTTAGAGTATTGAGGTATCTAAAAGAGGCACCAAGACAGGGCATGATCTGTTTTCATTTTGAAAGCCTATAGTGATAGTGATTGGGTAGGGTGTTTGGATACTAGAATATCAGTTAGTAGTTATGGGATTTTTTTTGGTAATTCACTTGCAAGTTGGAAAACTTAGAAGCAAATGGTTGCAAGGAGCTCTATAGAGGCAGAATACAGGCAATGGAAGCAACCTGGTGCAGTGGAATTACACTGTGACAATCAATCAGCACTTCACCTTTGCAAGAATCCCATCTTCCATGAGAGGATCAAGCATATTGAAATGGATTGCCATTTCATTAGGGAGAAAGTGTTTGAAGGTTTCATAGCCCCACGTTGTGCTCTTACTAATATGCAAATAGCAGATTTATTCACAAAAGCATTACAAGCAAGGCCATTTGGTTCATTACTAGGCAAGATGAGTATAAGTAATATCCATACTCATATTAAGGGGAGTATTAAGGATAAATTTATTTTGTTAGTTAAGTTAGTTACTGATTTACCATAGGCTTATTCATTTACTGTCATTTTACTGTTGTTACTGTGCTGTAATGGTCACACGTTACTGTACAAATTTTTAAGACACTTTTGCCTCTAGAATCTGTTATAGAGTTAGTTTCTGCACTTTCCAGTTAAGTATATAAACTGGATTTTTCTAACCGAATTGAGTTGGAATGAAGAAGATTTTCGATTCCTCTCTTTGTATCAGTTTCAATATTCTTTTTTTTTTTTTTCAAATTTGCACCATTAAACCTCATTGACTTCTTAAGAGGAGTTATAGTTGTCAAATTCACCCCTTTGTTATCCGGTAGCAAGCTTTGCTTAACTACAACAAGCATTTTGTTGCAATCAAAAGAGGCAAGAGTTGCTAATCTTTGCATACTGCTTAATTTCTATTTCTCCAGGAAAAATTGTTTCATGTATCTTATTATTCCATCTGCTAAACTTTCAAGGAATATTCATTTTTCTTTTTTAAAACTGTGTAGATATGTTGAGTAAAGTGGAGAAAATCATCAATGAAGTTGAAGCTGATATGGTGCTGTGATTGGCTTGTTGCCTGTGGCTTTTCTGGTTGTGTCTGAAGCACTTTGTCATTTATTTCTGGTTCCCCAAGTCATGAAGTGGTGTTCATCAACTACATCAGGTGATGGCCCACGGTAAAGTTGTCTCGACCCTGTTAGCTTTCAAGTATGTTTTTGCAAAATAAAATAGTAATTGCACAATAGGATTGTATAGCGAATGTACATCAGCTGCAAAAGTAAATATAGCACTATCTTTAAAATCTGGTTTTGTTCATTGTTTTCATGCTGTGATCTCTCTGCATATTTTGTGGTGTCTTTGTCATAATATGTAGTACTACACATGCAGGCCGATAGTTCACTTTTCAATTGAAAAGCATTCCAAAAAATGATCCCAACAAAATCAGAAAATGGAAATGTTGGTTCAAGCTAGACCATCTCGTGATTTATGGAAGTTACTTACCTCCTGATTTTTTCCAGCTAGAACATCCCTTCTTTTGCATTAACCATGGGCTTTATGAGCTTTCCAGTCTTTCCCTGATTAGTTTTCTTCCAGTTGCCCTTGTCGTAGGATCTTTTTTTTCTCCCAAATGCTTGTCTTTTTCTTTTATTGAATGACGAATTGTTGATACTACCATTTGTTCGACCCCTTGTATTTTCCGTTGTAAAGAGCAAATAGTTTAAAACAACTTTGTAAGTTAGCGCAACCTGGCTGCTGACTTCTAATTAGTTGTAATGTAAGCCAAAACCAAAAGTCAAATGGGACTGCCACATGGATTCTACTTGGGATACTTCTTAGCGAAAGCTCCACTGAAAATGCAATTCTTCAGTAAATGAAATTGTGACATATATAGCACCTTAAACAGAGTCCAAATCTTGCCACTTGTCAGAGCATTTGATGGTTGGAGTATCAAATTGTGGTATTTCTCGCCGGCAGCATGAATAGGTAATAAACCTGAACACATAATTGAATATGCCAAGAACAAGTTGTTAAGTAACTCATGGTTTACCCATGGTGGTGTTTTCCTCCCTTTTATCTTTGATATAGCTAACAAGAGAAGGCTACTAGTAATTGCGAGTATGGTATGGTGTATGGATTAATAAAAGCCTCTTTTGAGTTTCAAATTCTGGCTTAGCCGGCAAATGAAGATGTAAATCTACGTATACATGGCTTAATTATGCCAAGAAGTTGTTAAATGAAGTCCGGTTCCTCTTCTTGTGCTTGATATAGCTTACAAGTTACATGACAAGGCTGCAACCAAATTTTGAGTACAGCATTTTAAAGCCCGTTTGAGCATCCAATTCACTTCACCAGCTGGGATTTTAGTTAAAGACATTCTGCAAATTCCCTACAGTACATGACCTAAATTCGAGCCATCCTAGATTAGTTGTTAGATGGTCGTTCATTCATATGAACGCACATAAATAGAAAGATTGAATAACTGGGAACACTCCATCGCCAGAATAAAATACTGTTGCTAACTTGGAGACAATCGTTGTTAGGGATAGAAAAGCTCGACAGCCAACCATGCTATTACCAAGGCGAGGTAACCAATGTGCTCCAACTCAGTTTCTCTTTGCTTCCAATGAAGAAGGTCACGTCTAATAAATAATTTAGCAAGTATTAATATAAATATAATCCTCAGGTTATGAGTTCAAATGTAGAGCTTTGGCTTTTTATAAAAACTAATACTCGCATTCAACCCAGTGGACGAATGCCACTTACTTATTTGACTATTGTGTAGGCGATATTAATTTAAGCCACGTGCATGAGTTACGTTCTCTGCTTGCTCCCTGCATTTGAATTTTGATGAAACATGCATGGCCGGAGGTGTTTATCGAACTAATTATGTTGTAAGCATCGACGATAATCCACTAAAGATAAACCCATTAACAATATCCAAATTGTTTGCTTACAAAGAGGCTTTGTCGTTTTCAGGAATGTTAAAGCTGTTTTATGTTAAGAAAAGCGGGCATTCCACCTGGAAACTGTCAAACTATACCAATTAGCTAGCAAACATGTAAAGACAGAGAAACAAAGAGGATCAGTTTCTGGCTCTTCCATTTTCATGTCATCATCTTTCTCTCTTTCATTGGAAAATTTTTCCATGCTCATAACCATGGTTTCCCATCCTCTTCTAATTACCCTCCCTTTATTGGCAATTCTACAGGCTAGAATTTGTGCGGCCAATGTCTCTATGTACTCTTTTCCTTGCTCACAAGACATCAAGAAATGTGATGCCTTGTTATATCACATCAATTCCGGTCTGAAGGAAGAGCAAATTGCCTCCTATTACTCTGTTGACCAATCCACCTTCCGCCCCATTTCCCATGGTAACAGCCAGGATTACTTTATACCTGTCCCTTGTTCTTGTGAAGACATCGGTAATGGCACCAGAGGATACTTCTACGACGCATCCTATACAGTGCAAGAAAACGACACGTTTGCGGAAGTTTCAGCTCGTATTTACAATGGACAAGCTCTAGAAGTTGGAGGAGAAGAAAGGAATTTTATCACAGGAAACAAAGTATCTATGCATCTGTTATGCGGATGCCTAGAAAGTCACCCTGAAACCGTAGTAACGTATACAGTTCAGCGGGGCGATGCATTAGCAGATATTGCTTCTCTGCTGTCTGCTAACCTAAATGATGTACAGAGGTTGAACGGCGATCTTACCCGAAACCCGGATGTCATATTTGCGGGTTCTGTGCTATATGTGCCTATGGAAAATGATGAAATTCCAGCTCCCAAGAAAGGTAGGTAGTATCTGAATTCAACACCATGTTTCATTTCATTTGTTTGACATTTTCAGCTTCATAGTCACAAAGCAAAATCCAAGCAATCGCATAGAGGTTATTGTTGGTGGAACATCTGTTTGACATGTTGATGTTTGCTAACTGACAACTTTAACCACGAGTTGCACTTTCAACGTCTGCAATTGAACCTTATTTATGTCCCTGTTTCCCATATTTTTCACCCTGAGAATTTTGCATGAAATTTCATGAGAACTGCTTCGATCATTCATTTTTCATTTGGTTCAATAAGTATATCCTAGCATATTTTTCCAATAATATGTTGCCAAAGGCTCTTCTGACCATACGATGTGTACCACTACTGTTGTTTTGGTGAAGCTTGAGGCAATTCTAATATTATTACTTTGATCAGATTCCAAATGTCCATTGTTTTGCACTAATTTAATTATAATTGCCTTGTTTTTGCCGTTAATTATCAGGGCGAAGAGTTAAGTGGACAATTATTATTGTCATATTATCAGCACTAACGGTACTTTCAACGATTGCATTGCTGATCATTCTCATACGGAGGAAAAAAGCTCAACAAATTAACGAGGAAGATCCGAAACCATCCAAAAGCCTGAGTGCCAGAGCATTTTCCTTGCAGAATCAGTTGCTGTACACGGAAAACAAAGAAGGTCAGGAACAAGATATGGCTACGGACAGCTAAAAATGCTGAGTATATACTGTTTGGATAAATCCATTGTAGGAGAGGAAGAAATTAAGAAATTTTAACTCATCTATTTTGCATTTGCATCTACAGATGTAACAGCTTTTGAATCAGAGAGACCAGTGATATACAGCCTGGAGGAGATTGAAGAGGCTACAAGTTATTTTGATGAAACTAAGAAAATTGGAACCGGGGGATACGGATGTGTGTATTTTGGAATACTAGCAGAGCAGGAACGACTTTTCTTTGCTAATTTTTCCCTTCTTGTCCTTGACAATGCTTTAGCCAATAGGTTTTAACAAACGACTTGCCTTTTCACACTTCAGGAGGTTGCAATAAAGAAGATGAAATCTAACAAATCCAAAGAGTTCTTTGCTGAACTCAAGGTCTTATGCAAGATCCATCACATCAATGTGGTAAGTTAACAAACCATGTAAAAATGAATAAACTCTTGTTGGGAATAGCATCTTGTTTTCTAACGGCGAGTAAAATCCATGTTTTATAGGTAGAGCTATTGGGATTTGCTAGTGGGGATGACCACCTCTACTTGGTTTATGAGTATGTCCAGAATGGATCGCTCAATGATCATCTCCATGATCCCTTACTGAAAGGACACCAGCCGCTCTCCTGGACAGCAAGAACACAAATTGCACTTGATGCTGCAAAAGGCATTGAATACATTCATGACCACACAAAAGCACGGTATGTGCACAGGGATATAAAGACCAGTAACATTCTACTCGATAAGGGGTTGCGAGCAAAGGTATTAAAAATAAGTCGTTTGCGTTATATATAATTGCTACTTTTGCATTTTGTCCAACTTCTTATTATAGGCATAACGTTCATATGGATCACTTCAGTAAGAATAATCATGTTTTTTCAGTAAATCTTCTCTAGTCATGAAATTTAACCTCCCTTGATATTTCTTGACTTCCCCGGGATGATCTGTTACATAGGCAGGGAGGCATTCCTGAAATAATTAGTTTATACAATTTCAATCGAATATTGAACTCTTATTCCTATTTTCTGGTTTGTATAAGTCTTAATCCTCCTCACGGTAACTGGAATACAATGCAATTAGGTGGCAGATTTTGGATTAGTAAAGCTAGTTGAGCGAACTAATGAAGAAGATCTCATAGCTACACGATTGGTTGGAACTCCAGGCTACCTTCCCCCTGAGTAAGTGTAGTTACTCTAACCAGTAATGTTTTTATTTCTTGATCATAATCCAAGGCTATTTTATTGGAAGAAAGTCTCCACTGCAAATTTTCCACACGCACACCGCAGTAATTGTGTTTCCAGAATGACTTTTCTGATATACTTTGCTGAAAAGATCGGTGATGGAGCTGCAAGTGACCCCCAAAACTGATGTGTTCGCATTTGGGGTGGTCCTGGCGGAGCTGATAACAGGTCAACGTGCACTAGTTCGTGACAACAGGGAGCCAAGCAAAATGAAATCACTAATTACAGTGGTAAGTAAATTGATTCACATATTTGAGAAACTAAGCTGGAATAACAGTGGAATTAAGGCTGAAAAAGTAGTTCTCCTAGGCTTGCTCTGCTGGAATGAATGGCTGCATTTGAACATATATATAAATCCATTTTTTCCCTGTACTATGTAAATCATATTCGAATAGAGACATTTTCTGCCAGGCGTTAGTACATTGCAGAGATCGTTATTGGCACTCTTTATTCATGATATCATGTGCTGTTCGTTCCAGCCTGCATGTCACAGGCGCATGTAACATGTTTGGTTTATTCACTTCTAGTTGTAACTAAGCAAGCTTAAATACTTTTGACCTTGTTGTCAGGTTAATAAGATCTTCAAAGAAGACGACTCGGAATCGGCTTTAGAAGAAGTTATAGATCGAAATCTTAGAGGCCGCTATCCTATGGAGGATGTATACAAGGTAGCATGACTTCCTCCACAATCATAAAGTCTTGCTTGTGTTAGCCAAACGTTTTCCCTGACCTAAACTTTGGAAAATTTTCATTCATTGTGCTGCAGATGGCTGAACTAGCAGAGTGGTGCTTGAGTGATGAGGCAGTTAACAGACCAGAAATGAGAGAAATTGTTGTAACACTTTCTCAGATCGTGATGTCCTCGGTAGAGTGGGAGGCATCACTCGGAGGGAGTAGCCAAGTTTTCAGTGGGCTATTCAATGGAAGATGAAAGCAGTCCAATGTAGAAATATCTTGTGTGTACTATGGGGCAATTTACATTAAACATGCCAACAATAGAATAACAAATATATAGCTGGTTGTTCATTTCCATGTTCCATCAAAGCTTTTTTTTTTTTTTCTAAGAAAAATGATATTGGGAAACAAATTTCACTGTAGCACATTTCGACAGAACTATGTAATTATTTCGGGGTGGTCTCTATTTCCATGCGCCAATACCTGGACCCACATACCAGAAAATTGGCCATTCTAGTTTTCTGATTCCTGTGTCTTGCCTTTCGCTTGTGAAAATCATTTTTAAGAAGATTAAATTTAATATTCGAATTTCAATCATTTTTGACTAAAAGAAATGTAAAAAGGACAGTTGAAATTATCTCATCAAAATATTTATAAATTTCAGTTGACAAATTTTTTAAATGAACAAAATCACAAAAATAGCCTCTATATTATAACTAACTGAAGAAAAAAAAAAGAGAAAAACTCATTGAAAAGTTAAAAATAATAAATTAAAAAAAAAACAGCATTGGGGCGTGAGATTCCAACGAAGTAAAGGTTTTAAAGCGGCGCCGTTTTACATGTTCTAAGCATCTGGCAAACAAGACAGGTATTGCAAGATGGAGCTCTCTAACCGAGTCACCGTTCTTCCATTTAAAATCTCAAAGAGAGAAGAAAAATAATTGCTCTGGGGATATCGTTAATGAACATTTTCAAATTATGGTTCATCTTCAACAAGCTCGGCCAACTTTACGCTTCCTTCCTTTAGATCTTTCCTCTCGCATCAATCCCCGGCTCTGATTCAATCAGATCTTAAGAAAACCGTGAATCACACCGATCTGATCTGCAAAACTACTAGGGATTCGTAGGACAACAGCAAAGAAAAGACAAAGAAGGCAGAAATGGCGGGGGCAGCATCGGCCCTATTTCTTCTAGATATAAAGGGCCGCGTTCTGGTGTGGCGCGACTACCGTGGGGACGTCTCCGCCACTCAAGCTGAACGCTTCTTCACCAAACTCATCGAAAAAGAGGTTCCTTCTTGTCATCTCAGAATTTCGATTTAATATTTATTTTCCGGTTAGAATTAATTGAATTCTTCTGCTAATTGCTTTATTTTAGTAAGTTTCAATTAGGCGATTGATAATACTTCGAATTAGCTTTAAATTTGATGGAGCTCAAAGAGGTTAGCTTATTGTTGAATTTGGTTCTCAGGGGGATCCGCAGTCACAAGATCCAGTGGTGTACGATAATGGAGTAACGTACATGTTCATACAGCACAGCAACGTGTACTTGATGACCGCGACGAGGCAGAATTGCAATGCCGCTAGTCTTCTCTTCTTCCTGCACCGTGTAGTTGATGTAAGCGCGATTTGGTAATTGTAGTTTCATGCCTTTTTATCATTTTTTACATTTGAGTTGATTTGTTAGATGTGCTGTTTAATTAATGAGACACATAATATTGATTCTTTATTTCGATCTGAGTTAATCTTGCAGGTCTTTAAGCATTATTTTGAGGAGTTGGAAGAGGAATCGCTTAGGGATAACTTCGTAGTAGTGGTATGTGGAAATTAAACGCTTTTTGTTTAGGTTTAATGGTTCCGGCATCAGTTGTTTGATGGTATGTAATTTTTGCTAAAAGAGTTTATAATTGGCTATTTGTTATGTCCTTGCCAGTATGAGTTACTTGATGAGATTATGGATTTTGGCTACCCTCAATACACTGAAGCAAAAATACTTAGTGAGTTTATCAAGACCGATGCATATAGGATGGAAGTCACACAAAGGCCTCCAATGGCTGTTACAAATGCAGTCTCTTGGCGGAGTGAAGGGATAAACTACAAGAAGAATGAAGTAGGTGGCTTTCTTTTTAATGGTAATACTTTTTAGTTATTTATCAATGTCTTGAGAAACTATCTGCTGAAGATTTTGTTCTTCATCTCAGGTGTTTTTGGATGTGGTAGAAAGTGTGAACATACTTGTCAACAGCAATGGACAAATAATTAGGTCAGATGTTGTTGGGGCATTGAAGATGAGAACTTATTTGAGGTGTGTTTTCTATTGATGATTGGAAATATGTGGATCATCTTAGGGAATATGCTTTAGTTTAACTCAGGAGTCTATTTTCAACTTAAGAATAAAGGTGATTCTTTAGTGAATAGATTAATTGTATGTTTAATAAAGTGGCAATATAAAAGAGTGTGTATAATGTAGCAAAATCCTTATTTCAACAAATATTGCATTTCTGGGCGAATGTGTGATAATACCTTGTAATTTGCAAGTTGTAAATAAAAGGTTAGTGTTATTTGAATTTTGTTAAATAGAAAAAAAGGTCTTCATTCATACAAATAGGTGATGATGATTGAAGGGGTAGAGCATTAATATGAGACCTGGATTCAAAGATACAACTTTCTGAATTCTGAATGAAGTGCTCTTAATTTGGTTGTGAGAATCAGTTTCTTGCCATCTCTACTTTGCTCCCTTGTTGACAACACCATTTATTTGAAAGTTCTGTTTGCTCTATCATTCATGCATGTGACACTCAAAGCTCAAAAATTTCAGGTGTTCATGCATGCTTGTCGAGTCTATCCTTTATTTGGGTAGTTGGTAACCCAAACATTCATGTGCATAGTCCAAACAATTGTATTGTGTTGATATTTATGGCATAAAACGTATACTTTCATTTTGGATAGTTCTTTTTCTGAGCTATATTTATATATTTGGATTCAATTTATCTGTTTCAGTGGTATGCCTGAGTGTAAGCTTGGCTTAAACGATAGAGTATTGCTTGAGGCACAAGGCCGAGCAACAAAGGGAAAGGCAATTGATTTGGAGGATATAAAGTTTCATCAGTATGCAGCCCAATCTCTCTTTTCTGCTAGAACTCTGGTTTTGCTCATACTTTTATTTTTGGCTTTAAGTGCAACAGCTACTGAAGTCTGACATTGCAAATTTCCCTCCCATTAATTCTTTGGTCTAGGTGTGTACGTCTTGCCCGATTTGAGAATGACCGGACTATATCCTTCATACCTCCTGATGGCTCCTTTGATCTCATGACATATAGACTCAGTACTCAGGTTGACTTTTTTACTTCTCAATTCTCACTCCCTCCTCTCACTTTCTTCCAGTTCCCTATTTCCTGATAATTAGTGATGATGATTATTTCTGCTTTCAGGTAAAGCCTCTCATCTGGGTGGAAGCTCAAGTTGAAAAACATTCAAGAAGCCGTGTTGAGATTATGGTAAAAGCCAGGAGTCAGTTCAAGGAGCGTAGGTACTGGGCTTTTTCCCCCTATTCCTACGTACTAGTGTCTTAAGTTATTTAATTTCACAGATCTCTAGGTGGGCTTATCTTATGGTTTGATTACCAAGCACTGATGAAGATATAATGGTTCTTTACAGTACTGCAACAAATGTTGAGATTGCGGTGCCTGTGCCTGCTGATGCTTCAAGTCCAAATGTGCGGACATCAATGGGATCTGCAGCATATGCACCTGAAAATGATGCTTTAATGTGGAAAATAAGATCTTTTCCAGGTGGCAAGGTATCATCTGCTAACTCCAAACTTATCAAAAGTTCTCTGACTAGCCATTGTACTTATTATTTTGAAAATCATAATATTAGGAGTATATGTTGAGGGCAGAGTTTACTCTTCCTAGCATAACAAATGAAGAGGCAACTCCAGAGAGAAAAGCTCCTATACGTGTGAAGTTTGAGATTCCCTATTTTACTGTTTCTGGGATACAGGTGTGCCTTCAGAAAATTTATTGCTTGATTCTTTATTTGGTTTATCTCAATTTTACTGTTTTGTCAATCTTATATTCTTCCTCATCTCTTGGTCAAGTAGCATACGAAACTGTAATCTTTTCGTACTGTTTCTCTTCTCTCTTCTTCACTCTCTCATCAGTAAGAACTGCAATATCTATCTGAATTTTGGAGAACATGAAACTTTTCTTAACTCTCATTATTAATACTGTTGATTTTTTCAAGAAATGAATATTTATGATTAGAATTTAGAATGCCAGCCAATGATGCTTCTGTTTTGATGAGATGCCATATATTAACATTTAACATACTTCAGATAGCATATAGCAGGTTGTTCAATCATATTATCTAGCTTGAAACTGTGTCAAATATCATTGTGGTTGATCTGTTATGCACTTTTTCCATAAAGTGGTCCCCGAAGTTGTCTAGATTTAGGGGTGTTCAAGGTGGTGATGAATTGTTGATGGCTTAGTGGATTGGAGATAGCAACCAACACGTTCAATGCATATCAAACATAAGTAAACTGCAGATCAGACAATTCCTGTCTCATTCAAGGCTTATTTTGAGAAAAGACTGTTGGTCAGCTTGCTGGTTTTGCTTCTTGCTAGATATCCATTATAAAAATGCTAACCATGCAACTACAAGATTATAAGTGCATCTACCTAGTAGCCATGGAAACTGCCAATAAGATCCAGCATAAGCTTCAAGGATGATCACTTGGCAGCACTATTTGAATGACTCTTAGCTTTTGGCATTGCCGAGAATGATATTATTATTGTTTCAGTTTGCTGCAAATAGAAACTGTTAAACCTACTGGAATTTCCAGTGTTTGCATGTTGATTTGACCTTTTTTCTTTTGGTAATTTTCATAACTTGGATGTTGGGATGTTGTAGGTTCGTTATCTGAAGATTATTGAGAAAAGTGGTTACCAGGCTCTTCCATGGGTACGGTACATAACAATGGCTGGCGAGTATGAACTGAGACTTATTTGATAGCCATTCCTTTATGTTCACATTTGCAATTACTTGAGTTTCATGAATTGGAATCAGTGGGACATAAGGAATCAAGGAAACTAGTCGATATACAAAGCCCTGTGAAGAGCATGCAAGAGTGGTTTGTGGTGAAAAATTTTTTCTGCTTCATGTCATACTGTCTGTGCATTATAATTGTTTTATCTAATCGGTGTCTTAAGAGTTTATGATCATCAAGAACGTTTACGTCACCCCTTATTTTTTTTTTATTAAATTACAAATTGAATACCGTGAACTTTCTTTTTCCTCTTTGTGAATGATTTATTGTTTGAATGTGTTTTCCACTGGGTTCGTTTAAGAAGAGTATCTTTGAAGTGGGCTAAAAAATAGCCTAATTGGGTTGCCTCAATGGGCAATATTCATACTTTTGAACTTACCTGAACCGAACTTTAGTCCCTTCCATTTTTCCCCAAAAATTAAATTCAACTCAGAGAAGACGTTTATATGCAAAACGGAAGCCCTTTGACATTGGTGAGTTACCAAAGCTGGCTGGAAACTCTCATTACTGCTTCCAGAATTTCTAGTTGGATGGACTGTGATTCAAATTGGAGCTTTTCAACGCTAGCCTCAGTTTCTGCATTTGTCAGGAGTTGAAATATTGTATATGACCTCCGCTGAAGAAAATTTCAAGGTGAAGCACCATGAAAGCTTCCACAATATAGTCAAATTTTTTGTCACTGTACTTTGGGTTCATATATATTGCGATTCATCGTCCTTGAATTTCACTGTTATTGTTCCCGACAACATAATAAAATTGATGAAAATTTGTTATTTATATTAGCGGAATCTTCTGACATATTTCACTTTTCTTTTTTTTATAATAAAAGAATCAACAAAATAATAACTATAATGTAAAATTTAATAAATTGAAATACAATAACAAAATTTAATATTACAGCATAATAAAGTGACAAATTTGAACTTTAATCTTATTTTGACTTTTCCCTGGACCTTGGAGGGCAAAACAGTTGACTGGGCATGCTTTTTCTCGCTTGAATTGCAAGCTCATGACCTTCAAAATTCCAGACAGCCCTGGCACGAACAATTTGGAGCCGTGTTTGATTTGTCTAGTGAGATTTTTCCTGGATTACATTATTTCATTCTTAACTTTGCCTTAAAAGGCTAAATCGCAGAAACCGTCAGAGTAAGTTTGACTTCATTGACAGCATGAAGAATGTTATGATCGATTCTTTGCCTTCAAAGTATAATTCAAATATTTTATACTTGAAATCACAGTGTTTCCATGACATACTTTCTCCCGATTAAATCGTGCTGTTTAAAGCGAGCGAGACAATTTCCAAGTTTATGTGTCTACTAATCAAGTACAAATAATTTTTGCAAGACCGCATCGTGAAGAAAAACATATTGAATTGCTTATAATTACATAAGCTGCATAAAATCCTTGAAACTAGCTATGATATATAGATAGCGTCCACTGTTGAAACCATAAGAGGATTGTAAATGAATTACTGTCTCGCATTTTTTTAAAATAAATAAATAAATAAATAAATTACTGTCTCTCTCTCTTTTTCCACTCTAGCTGCCACAATAAGCATTCTCAATTCCGAAAGAGTAGAGTCTACATGCGTTCCATGTACCAAAAGGTTTAATGACCATATACGCCTACGATGATCAAAGGCTTTTTAATTTCTCCCTCAGCCTATCATCAATAACAATTTCCTTTGCCGTCCCTTTGATGGCTGACAACCTCTCCAAGAAAAGGTTAAACTCCTCATCAGGACTCAGCATGCTAATCCTAGTGTACTTGGATCCAACGCCAAAAGTCGTCCCGCCCCTTGTGACTATATTATGCTCTCTTAAGAGATTGTCGCAGTTCAAGCCTTCCTTGCTCCTCAACCATCCAAAGGCTGCATGAGAAAAAGAAACAAAACTATGTTAATATAAGTTTTATAGTGAACCAAGGATCGATGAAGTCAGCTAGTATGCAAATGATGCAATTAACTCTTATGGTGCATTACCAGGGCTGGGATCAGTGTATTTTCCACTGAAGTTGCAATAATCTTGAGGGTACTTGGGCAGACTGAAAACTCCATTACGTTCAACCACTTCCCGCAGCTTTTCCCATCTTTCAGACATGAGGCGATACCCATATTCAAAGAAATTTTCTTCTTTGTTAGGCCCAGAATCCTGGCAGTCGTCGCTGATCACTCCTAGAATCTTGGCAGCCCGGAGCTGGGATTCTTTGGATACGCCAATGCTGCTCAGCTCTATGAATTTAACCATCTTGGTGGCGACTTCTTTATTCTTAACAATAGCCCAACTGCAGAATAAAAAGGTTAGAAAGTAGTCAGAATATATATATATGTTCCGCATAAAAAGATTGAATTATTTTCCTAAACCATATCATGGCATGAGATGCTAACCCAATGCGAGAGCCAGCATGTCCCGTGGCTTTGGAGAAGGTAAAGAGTATAACATCGTAGTCAGCCCTATGAGTAATGGGCGTGTATTGAGGCCAATAGTAAGCTAGGTCATAAATAAGTTTGCCACCTTCGCGATTCACCACAGCTTCTCGAATTGCGCCATCAGGGTTGTTGGGTGAAGTGACCACCTCTATGTAAGGTCCATCTTTATCAAAGGAGTATGCATCACCTGCCCATTTGTACAGCCCTGAGCGCAGGAACTCCGTCTCCTCTGGATATGACTGCAATCAAGGGAAACTTTAATAAACATGGGGTTTCGAAGCAAGAGCAAAAGGATATGGTTTTGGCAGCACTGAGTTAAATTTCATGATTGCGTGGGATGGGATGATAATCTTTTGAAAGAATTAGAGACGTCAAACACATGACAACGTGCATGCAGAGCGTTTTAATGATCATTGACAAAAGTTCTTTATGGTCTCTGGAAAACGTGACTAACATGCTAGATGTCTGCTTTTGTATCTCAAAAACTGCTTAAATTTTTGTTTGAAACGTTTATGCTTGGACAACTAATTTATTAGGGTACTAAATTCTTCCGCAAACAGTCACTAATGAATCCTAGTGCCTGCTAATTCGTGATTAAGCTAGCCCATAAATGATTTTTTTGCATAAAATTGGTGCAGAAACTGCAAAAGTGACTCTGTTTACCAAGTATGGAACCGGGCCGTAAAGAATCTGGGGTTGACTCGCTACATGCTTCTAAAACTAGACATGCCCATGTTACCATGTTCGGCCTGAGATGCAAAACAATGCTGCGTGCATATGTTCGATAGTTGTTTCTAAATCCTATGTGCTCAAGAAAACATGTTTGTCCCTTTGTCCCATTTCTTTCCCAGTAATTTGTCTATTCCCTTGACAACTCCATGCGCAAACGTTTCCCAATGTCATTGCAAAATGCAACCAACTGCTTTAATGGAAAACGTTTCGATTGACAGAGAAATAAACTAGAAAACCCGCAAACCATGGCCCGTTCCTGAAACCGCCCCAATAAAAAGACGAGTGCCTAAGAGGAGAGAAGCCGACATTGATTTGACAAGTCTGACATGAGTAGTAAAAAACAGAGAAAAGAAAAGGAAAGAAATTCAAATATTAAAGTCAACCAAAATCAACGGTTGCAATTGTATCAGAGCAGAGGCTTATTACCGAGTAGAAGGGCGCAGCGGCTACCACACTGATGGGCTCAGGCTCATCAGGAGAAGAGAGAGCATAAAGCAGAGCCTGGAAGAGCTGGGTTGAGCCAGTTCCCACCACGATGAATCGATCATCATCAGCGACTGCATTCCCAACCACACGGTGCAATCTCCTGATGGCATGATCCAGCTCTGGCATCAAAAACCAGCACAAGTTCCCCGCGTCGCTGAAGTAGCTCATCAAATCATTGCCGGGGATCACCATCGTACACCTGTCTTCCAACTTGCTCCAGTATGAATGGTACATCGTCGGATCACCACTGTATGAAAAAAATTCCATTGTTATATATCAATCGCTTTGATATCTACGTGTGTGTATATATATATATATATATATATATATATCCTTGAATGCATCAAAATAGGATTAATATGCAAACAATATTGGAGTGGAGTGTTACGATTATTAAATAAAGTGGAACACTAATGCAACAGTCACACCCCCATGGAAAGGGAAACAAAAAACATGCCATTGTCAAAGATATAAATGCAGGCGATGCACGCACCGCGCAAAGTTGATGACAGAGTCCGAGGAGAGAGTAGCAGGCGTCTTTTTGCCGGACGGCATGACGGATTTGGTAGCGGAAGCTGCCTTCTCAAAGCCGACCACCATCTTGGCTTCTGCAATAGTATTTGAAAACGAAATGAAAGTAATTTGTGAAATTGTTTTTCGGAAGTTAAATTATTAGGGACCCAGTGCAGGGCTGGTCGAATGTGGATGTGTATATATAGAGGGGGAGGGAGGTGCAAGGTACTCTAATTCATTGTATTTTGGTTCCCACGAAATTACCGGATTTTCTTTAAAGGGGATGAAAACGAAAAAACAAAAGGCCTTAAAAGGCAGAAAATCTCGGAATTGTTAATGGCAGAATCGAGATGTACTGACTATAAGGAGAGAGTGTTTGTTGGTGCACCTAACCAAAGGTCTAATTAAGGACCAGAGCAGATTCTTCTGTAAATGAAAACTATATATGGTAGCTTTGGCAAGCGATAAGAATGGTTGTGTATATCTTTTCACTTTTCCCTCTTAAGGAAAACACTGAAAAGTTGTTAAAAGAAAAGGAAAATTCCAAGGGGGCCTTGAAGATCCAATGCGCAATATGCTGGCTATGTGAACAGACATCAGTTTTTTCTGGCAACATCACAAAATGTGCTGCGGAAACACTTTCTTTTCAAATGCTGTTATAGTTTGGAATGTTAAAATTTATTATTAAAATTTTCCTATAACCTCTGTCAATAACTAATTCAACATTATTCCAAGCTAATTATTAGCTGTTGTAATACTAGCTCTAAATTTAAACAAATTTTATTATGTATTAAAAGAGATACACATTGCAAAAAATGAACATTTATTATGTATTACAAAAGACGGCACTTAATCAGCTTTTACTCCATTCAAAAGTTTTTTTTAAAAAAATAACAATTTTATCACGTAACATTAAAAATCATATTATGATCAAATCACACAAGATTATTTTTTTCTCATTTAATTATATGTATTCAAATTTTAAATTTCACTCATATATTAAATGCAAATGTCAACAAATAAAAATAATCATTTTTTTATTAATCAAATACAAAGTTAGTTATGAAGTTAATTTATATATATTATGTATTAAAATTGGTGTAAACCGACGCATAACGAATCTTACTTAATTGAGAAGTAGAAAAAAAAAAAGTAAATAATAGCTTTATCTTAAAATTTTATTGTTATAATTTTTCTATTGGATTAAATGTACGTTATTATAGTTGAAAGTTAAAAGTATGTTTTCGCTCAACTAGAATCCAACATTCCAAGCATTAATGATTAAGTTTTGAATAGCGAAATTTATTTCTAAATTTAGTGTGACAATGTTGTCGACAACTAATTAAACAATACTCCTGCGACCGAATTATGGTATCATTCAAGTAATAACAAAACAATTAGCATTGTACCAAAAAAAAAAAACAATTAGCACTTGTAGTACTAATTCTAAATTTATTCAATTTTTATTGTGTATTAAAAGAGGTAGGCATTGCAAAAAATGAAAGAAAAGATTGTGCGTAATGAACTTTTATTCCATTAAAAAATGAAAAAGAAAGAAAATGACAACTTTATTACCTGATTTTAAAATCATATTGTGATTAAATCATAAGATATAATTTTCTTTCTCATTTGAATATACTAATAAAGTGTTCAGGTTTCAAATTTCACTCATAAATAATTAAATTGAAATGTCAACAAATGCAGGTGATCATTCTTTCATCTATTTTTTTTCAATAATTTAATTAAAACACAATAGGATCTTATTAAGGAATCTTAATATATTTTGGTAAGTATAATGCTTAAATAAGTTCCTAAACTATTCAAAAAAATTCAAATAAGTTATTATTCTTTTATTACGATAAATCAAATCCTTGTACTTCTATTTGAAGTCAAATAAACTCTTATGATTAATGATTGATTAATTGTCATTAGTCAAAATATTACTTGTCATTTTATATACACATTGCACGAGCATGGCATTGATGTGAAGGGTAAATAAGTCATAGGATTATGTTATCATGCTAAATTAGTATGCCATGTCAATATCAATTATTATATATCAACATGCCATATTATCATTAATTGGATATGTTAGCATACCACATCAGCACTATGCAACATAGTATGACAAATGGCATTTTAGTTAAGTCAATTATTAGTTACAATGACTTATTTGATTTAAAATAAAAATATAAAGACTTATTTGGCTCAAAATAAAAATACAATGGCTTGATTAAATGTAATAAAAATATGAAGGTCTATTTAAATTATTCTAAATAGTTTAGAGACTTTTTTGAATATTATGTCACTCTGGTATTATTCAACTAATAGCATAGTAACAAATAGTAGAATTTGACCAAATACAAAGTTAGTTATGAATTTAATTTACATGTATTTCCTATGAAAATCGATGTTATAGAAAAAAGAAAGAAAAAGATGATGCATAATAAACCTTACTCGATTGAGAAGTACAACGAAAAGAAAATAATAACTTTATCACGTGATTTTATATTTGAAAGTGTGTTTTAACTCAAATAGAGCTCAACATTTGTAACAATTAACGGTTTCAAGTGTTAACGATTGACTTTTGATTAGCAAAATTTATTATTAAATTTCTTGTGAGAATGTCTATCAACAAAAAATTTAACATTATTCCATATAATTATTAGATTTGATTACAACTAAATTTTGGTATTATTCAAGTAATAACAAAATACTTAGTAGTTGTAATACTAACTTTAAATTTAATAGCTTTTTGGCATAATTCTTAAAAAAGTTTCTAAATTATTTAAGAAAATTCAAATAAATCATTATTCTTCTACTACGTTCAATCAAATATTTATATTTTTATATTAGGTCAAATAAGTCCTTACAACCAATAGTTGACTAATTGTTATTAATCAAAATGTCCATTATCATTTTATATTCATGTGACATTAACACGGCATTGATGTAATCATGACATGGTATCATTTATTATGATATGTCAACATACCACATTAGAGTCATATGAATAGAATAATAAATGATAATTGACTAAGTTAATCATTAGTTATAAGAGCTTATTTGGCTTAAAAAAATATAAAGATTTGGTTGAACGCAATAAAAGTATAAATGACTTATTTAAATTTTTCTAAATAATATATTAAGATATTATGCTTAAATTTTTATTATGTATTAGGCAAGGTAGGCCTTTCAAAAAATGAAAGAAAAAGATTGTAAGTAATGAGCTTGTACTCTGTTTTAAAACCATATTATGATTAAACCACATGATATCATCTTTTTTCTCATTTAAATATATTAATAAAGTATTTAATTCTAAATTTCACTCGTATATTAAACTGAAATGTCGACAAATGTAAGGGATTATTCTTTTACTTTTTTATTCAGTAATTTAATTAAAATACAATATCATCTTATTAAAGAATCTCAATATATAGTTGTATCATTCAACTAACAACATAATAACTAATGGTTGAATTTGACCAAATACAAAGTTAGTTATAAATTTAATTTATATGTATATATATAAATATATATTAAAACTGGTGTTACAAAAAAGGAAAAAAAAAAGACGGCGCTTAATGAACCTTACTTGGTTGAGAAGTAGAAAGAGAAAGAAATAATAATTTTATCACGTGATTTTATCTTTATAGTTATTTTTATGGATCAACCGTACATTATTATAGTTGAAAGTGTGCTTTTCACGCAAGCAGAACTCAACATTTGTAACGTTTAAAGGTTCTACGTGTTAACTATTAAGTTTTCAAAAGCAAAATTTATTGTTAAATTTGAGCAATAATGTCTATCAAAATTTTTATAACTATTGAGTTTGCAACATTTTTCCCATGAAATGATTAGATTTAAGTGCAAATACTGATTACAACTTAATTATGGTATCTTTCAGCTAATAACAAAATTATTATCGATTGTAAACACTAGTTCTAAGTTTAATCAATTTTTATATATTACATATTAAAAAAGGTTGGCATTGCGAAAAACTTAAAGAAAAAAATTGCAAGTAATGAGCTTTTATGCCGTTGAAAAGTAGAAAGGAAAGAAAATAAAAACTTTATCATGTAATTTTAAAATTATATCATAATTAAATCACATAACTTTTTTCTCATTTAAATATATTAATAAAGTGCTTAGATTCTAAATTTTCCTCATAGATTAAATAGAAATGTTGAAAAATGCAAGTGATTATTGTTTTACCTATTTATTCAATAATTGAATTAAAACACAATATGACTGTGTTAATGAATTTTAATATATAGTGACATCATTCAACTAATAACAGAGTAACTAATGATCCAATTTGACCAAACACAAAGTTAGTTATGAATTTAATTTATATGTATTATGTATTAAAATTGTTGTTACAAAAAAGGAAAGAAAAAGACGACGCTTAATGAACCTTGGTTGAGAAGTAGAAAGAGAAAAAAATAATAACTTTATCACGTGCTTTTATCTTTGTAGTTATTTTTATGGATCAAATGTATATTATTATAGTTGAAAGTGTGCTTTTCACGCAAGCAAAACTCAACATTTGTAACGTTTAAAGGTTCTACGTGTTAACTATTAAGTTTGGAATATCAAAATTTATTGTTAAATTTGTTGCGATAATGTTTATCAATAACTAATTTGATGGTTTTCAATGTAATTATTATATTTGAGTGCAAAAACTAATTGCAACTTAAGTATGATATCATTTAACTACTAAAAAAAATTTAGCGATTGTAATACTTGTTCTAAATTTAATAAATTTTATATATTATGTATTCAAAAAGGTTTGTGTTGTAAAAAATGAAAGAAAAAGATTGCATGTAACGTGTTTTCTTTTTTTCTTACTCAATCAGGTAATGTGCTTTTACTTCGTTGAAAAATAGAATAGAAAGAAAATAAAAACTTTATCATGTGATTTTAAAATTATAACATGATTAAATCACATGATATCATTTTTTCTCATTTAAATATAAAGTGTTCAACTTCTAAATTTCACTCATAGATTAAATTGAAATATCAACAAATGCAAGTGATCATTATTTTATCTATTTATTTCAACAATTTAATTAAAACACAATATGATCATGTTAATTAATCTTAATATATAGTGGTATTATTCAACTAATAACATAGTAACAAATAAATTGAATTTGCTTATATAAAAAAATTAAAAATTGAATTTGACCAAATACAAAGTTAGTTATGAAATTAATTTATATGTATTATGTATTCAAATTGGTGCTAAAAAAAAAGAAAGAAAAAAGGGCAAATAATGAACCTTACTCGATTGAGAAATAAAAAGGCCCAAGGCAAGTT